TGCTACTAACAATTGGCCAGTACTAATAGCCAGTCTTATTCTTGCTGCTAGATGGACTGGGCTTCGACTCACCCACCACAGGTTCGTGTATAGTCACCTAATTGTGGATGATCATTTTGGGTGAGAAGAAGCATTTGACGGAATCCTTTCAACCATCCAAGAACTGCCCCACTTGGTTCACTCTCCTGTAATCCCCACATCTTTTTGTGGCGCAAAAAGACATGAAATGAAGAACTCCAAGGTACTTCTGCCGCATGCGCTATGCGGCAACCTATGATCCCGACACCGACAACTTCCAGCATCACTGGCTGGCCTTGGGAGCAGCGGGCCTGTGCCTAGGATGATGTGAAGAGATGTGCAGTGTTCAACCCTAAGATCTGTCAGGATCTACCAACCTCACAGGAGATGTTTGGTAAGAACAGTTCTTATCAACCAAGAGATGATATCACCAACCCTAGCAGTAAGGATGGTGTGAAGAGATGGATGTAACGTGACGATGTGGGACGATACCTGGCAGGTCGTTTCACCATGTTTTATAAAAATCTCACACAGGTTTCAATTGGATGTGCATGTTTTTGTGACAAGCCAAGTTTCCAGCTCCATGTTGCATGAGTGATGGTACACGCCTGGTTGAGAGTTCCCAGCAACTCATGCAGGCGAAACGTCCTCTGGGAGGTGTATGCAGTGACATGCTTTGACATGATTACGCCGGTCCAAGCACGGTGAGGACCCACCGAACCCCCCATGGCATCCTACATACTTGGAAATACATGGATTGACTTAAGTCTCAGAGTTACTCTTCAGTGAATCGTTTTGCAGTTCTCAGCACTTCAGAATCCCCAAACCATCGGTCCTTTCTGTGATTTTCGGCCCGGCCTCGCTGTCAGACGCGAGGATCTTGCATAGTCGGACCTCCTTCATCCTCCTTCCCCAAGTCACGCGTTGCTTCGCACGCCGCGCGGCTGCTTCGACTCGGTCAAGTCGCCGCGACCAAGGGCCTTGATCTTTCATCCAAACTTGAACAATTTCCTCCCCTCGGACACCAGCTGGGCCTTTGCCGTTTATCTGGAATCGGTGGCTGCTCCTCAACTGAAGCAGAGAGAAGTTGAGGCAGACGGACTCTGAGGCATCGGAAGTTCAACGTTTTTTCTCCTATCGACTTAGTTCGATTTTCTTTCGATTTTCTCGCATAGTTGAATTCCTTATGAGTTTGTCATGAGTTTGTAAGTCCTCATGGGTTTGCATATGTTTGCATCATGATATATCTAGAACTTTTTTGAAACTCGATCATTTCTGATGCTGCGAATCTCCACAGCCTTGGCTCGTGACAAAACAGAGAGACGAGGTTCTTTGCCAGCTCTTCATGTTCATGAAGGAAGGCGCAGAAGCTAGGGGAAAGCAGTCTTGGTTGTTGATTTGTTTGGGTGAAAAACAGAGCTTCGCATTGTTGAGGGGTTGAGACATCTAGGTAAGGTGTCCTTCTATTCCGGCACCGGAGTCTACAGATCTCGTTTTAGCTAGGACCACACCAATCTAGGCCCGAGAAATGGATCAGACCGTGTTCTCTCGAGGTTTGGTCTCAGCGTTTTGAAGACCGTTGACATCCATTGACCCACTTGAGGATCTTGAGTATCGCAAGAAACTACGAGTAAGATGAGTAAGGGGCTCCTGGCCTATACTATTCTAATAGCTTCTTGTTACCACTAGTAAGGCACTTGTTACTAGTAGCGATGCACTTGTTTCTAATAGCTTCTTGTTACTACAAGATAGGAACAAGGATGCGAACCGTTCGGGGCTCATACCCGACCCGTCGCTCCGTCGAAGCGTCGACCCGTTGCTCCGAGCGGGTTGCGGAGGCCAGGCGGCTCCCCACACCTCGCACTTCCTGGCGGCGCAGGTCGGTTGGTGGCTGCCGGGGTCGACCAAGAGCACGAGATGATGTGAGGAGAAGAACGGATGTCAACATGTGTCAAGAATCTAGAATCTAGCAACTGGATGATTACATATTCCGAGGTTATGCATCGTTATATATATATATATCGTTATGCCTAGACCCTTTGATTGCTTCCAGTATTTCTTGTTTCACCCCACAACCAACCAGCGGTCTCTGGAATGAGCGGTTCGGAGATGCCGAGTTCTGGTGAGGGCGCATGCGGGGGATGGTCCTGACCATACAAAGTCCTACTACAGGACTGTAAGGACTGTCTTGGTTCGACTCCCCAGGGGATACATCGGACTACTCACTATACTCACTATATAACTACTACAGTACACGAATTTCAGCATGAAAAAGGCACGACGGGGATTCTTTCTTCCGGGTGGAGTGGGTTTTAGCGTCAGTCTTTAGCGTCTAACCACGCCAGCCAGAAAGCCCCATCACACAATTCATGGGAATTCCACTGCAAAAGAACGCAGAAGCAGATCGATGATTGATGCAACAGAGTTCAACAAATACGTCAAAAGTAACGCCCTGCGCAGGTCGAGCTCGAGCTCGGGCGACGATGATCGGTCGACGTCCGTAGGGTGTCAGCGGCCTCGGTTCGCTCGGTTTCGGTTTCGGCGTCCTGACAGAGCTCGGTCTCGTCCTGAGTGGCAGGCCTTGTCGAAGATCATGTCCTTCATTTTCTGGGCTTCCTCCTTCAATGAGCTCTCGACGCTCGGTGGTGCACCGCATGTTTCATGCCCAGCCTTGGGAGTAGGGGGAGTGACATTTGGAGAGCAACTGCAGCTGCCAAAGTGAGGTAAGGTCAGGTTGTAAGCTTTGTCCCAAGATATGGCACTCCACGGAAGCAAAATATGAAGCAAACTAGATAATCCTTGCTAAATAGCATTTGGAAGTTGAGAGCTATGAAAGCCCTTTGAGTTGCTATTGCGTTGGTGTATATTTGTTTGAGTCCGTTGGAAGTGGAAGACAGCCCTGCCTCCTGGCGGTGCCTTTGGCCCTGAGGAACCCGAACCATACCATTAAAGCCTTCGTGGGCAATTGGGTGGTGTGCACCCAACTGGTACAGCTTTGTGCTGCTTGGTCTGACAAATTCACTTCAGGAGGCTTGATGGCTGTGGGTCAAAACCAGGATACCTTGGTTGGCCTGCATGGTGTTGGGGCTCCAAGTTTTGACCCATTCCCATACTCTGTGTTGTTGATTTCCCCCCTTGGTGACAGATCTCAATGTCGAATTCTACGGGCGATTGCTTTGTTCGTCTTTGGGGCTTTGCTTCCAAAGATGTTTGCCAGCATGCAGCAGCACCTGGACAGCTGCAGGTTCCCTGCTCTCCACAGCTCCACCGCTGAGGTCATGGGCGACTTTATCTATCACTACATCCGATGCATCCGCCAGGCCGGAAGTGCTGGGTAGGGGTAGTAGCTGGTCCCCTTGTTTTTGTCCTAGCTTTTGCATGGAAAGCGCAGGATGACACTGGCATCTGGCAATGTCGGATGTTGTCCCCTTTCATGTGTCTTCCTCCAGGGCGTCGCCCGTTCCCATGACCATCAGTTGGTGCTTCCCATAACAGGGCGTCCGCTAGAGGCTGCCCATCGGAGTTCCCTCGAGCGTAACGAGATGCAACCAGTGAGTTTCCTTGCCACTGGTCTGGCGAAGGGGCCTTGTGTCCGATGGAAGCAACCGAAAATCCGAGAATCTGTGGCGGAGGTGTCTTCCCGTGCAGCTTGAAGATCGGAACTCGGAGCACCATGGACCTCCCCATCGTTTGTCCGTCTCAAGGTTTCTACGACTTCCACATGAGTCTGAGTGTCCATCAATCACACTATGCAAGTCTCTATATATTATATATTATATATTATTTATTATATTATGCACAATAATCCCTAGTACTATTTAAACGCTGCCCATTAAAAAAGCAAAAACAAACTCATGTCGGAGACCCCTAAATAGGGTGTATATTTGTTTGGAGATAACCACCCTTCAAAACTGCTACTAAACTACCAACATGGCCGATTTTGGGGAAGTTGTTGTTTTTTGAATAGGTTCCCAAAACAACCCTAACTGTCCACCTTTGTCCGCCCTGTTTGTCCACCATGGCACTTTCCACCGAGGTCGCGCAAAGCCGCATGGCACAGCGATATCACCTTTCGAAAGCTTTACTTGTTAGTCTAATGAGAAATCACTATATTGTAATAACGGATAAGAAAGGATATGTGTAAAGGGAAAAGGACATACCCTTTGATCTTGAGTTGTTTGTTTCTTTTTAGTGTTGATGCGAGTTTCCTAGGATTTTATATAAAACTTTCCTGAGCGACTCTTCTTGTTTGAAGCTCTTCCCAGGTGTCCATTTTTGCAGGTCCCTCCCTAGGGGGGGCGTGTTTTGTAGTAGGTGGAAGGGAATATATCCCTAAGTATCACATGAGTGACGAGTCGCGTTTCACTTTAAACGGCCGCCAGGGCATTCCGGTGTCCCAGCTGCTTTGCTCGGACAACGTGTGACGCGGTCACGGCGGTCACCGCTCCGCATCGACGGCCGCTGGAGCTTCCGAAGCGTCATAAAGAGACCGGCGCCGTCACCACGATGCACAGAATCCGAAAAGGGGCGTGAGAACTGGATTGGCTTGGGTGGTTTTCTTGTGCCTGGATGGTGTCTTTTTTGTGCTGGTTGTGATCAAGATAGCAGGCCTGCCTAGCAGGCCTGCCTAGCATGGATCAGTGGTGAGATGATTCGAAGTTCGGGCATGGCATGGCTGCCACCCCTGAGACTTACTTAGGTTCTCAGGCGCCATGGCACGCGCCTCTTCAGGGCATCGATTTCAAGCCTTACAGGATCAATGAAACCTGTGGCTCCATGGCACTGGCGACCCTGGTTGTCCAGACTCATACTCACGTCAGGGAGGTCAAGCTACTGCTCCACGTAAGCTCTTCAAAGGATTGGTATCATCCAACATGTCCAAGTGACCTGGTCATCCCAACCGGGCCCAACCGGGCCCAACCATATCTCTCCAATCGAGACTGGTCCACCACACCGCACCTCTTCCCACCTCGAGACGCCAGGAGCTTCGTCAGCTCTGTCGAGAACAGGGCTTGGATCATCGAGGTCTCAAGGGCGATCTCATCTCCCGCCTGGCCGGCTTCCGCGCGGAGGCCGGAGCGCGGGGTTTGGGCCCAAAGGGAAAGCGAGGCCAAACCGCCAACCGGGAGGCCAAACCGCCCACCGTTTTGGGGGTTCGGCGGAGAAGGGACTTCCGCGGTTCGGCGTGGTGTGTAGTTCCACCGGTGGTGGGTTGGTGGGTTGGCGTGCGCGACGAAAGAGACGGAAGACATTGGAAGAAGGGCGTAGGTCACTTTTCTGTTGGGTGTGTTGGGGAATGTTATCTTGATCTGCAATCTTTTGAGGAGATGTGTGATGTGTGATGTGTGTGTGTGCGTTCCTTCTCAGAAATTCACCTGCTGAAATACATCAATCTCAAGCTCTAAACTTAGGCCCAATGAAAATACCACCGCGGGTGAAAACAATGTTGAGAAAAAAAGGCTGGTGTTGGAGGGACGGGCACAAAAGAATATGCAATCGTGGCTGCAGCTGAGGGAAGTTTCTGCACAGGCATTGTGGCATTGCTGAACAACTTCTACTCCTCGTGAGACGTTTGTTATGACCGCTGAAGCTATCGTGGATCAATCTTGAAGCAACACCAATTGTACTCATAATTGTTTTGGCGACATTTTGTTGGGGTGGCTGTATGACATCATTTCCTGATTACCCGTGCCTTCCTTTGTACAGCACTTTTGTTTGGCACACCCTTTTCTTTTAACACGTGCCCAGGAAATGAACGTGTTTTCATGAGGAAGCGTGATCGCTCGTTTGATCGCGGACATTCGCGGTATCCGGAGGCCGTGGGCGATGCGTGCGACGCTCAGTGATGGGGACGTAAAAGAGGTTTCCAAAAAGGACATCCTGTCTGGGTGTCTAATAGACTACCCTACACTGCTTATATACCTCCATTGGACACCCTGACAGGGCCCTGACAGGATCAACCCAGGTAGTCATGCCTGACTTTGTGCCTACATACCGGTATGTCTAGTACTTCGCAGCTCTGGGGGTAATTACTCAATTCCCGGTTTTGTCGGATAGATGCTGGAAGCAAGTAGCTAACTAGTAGCTGCTTTCTTTTAGAGCAACATGAGGTCAACTTCCACGCAAAGTCAGTCTTTCGCCGAGATGCAATCAATATTATTGTGTTAGTACTTAGTGCGAAGCGGAGATCAGCTCGGATGCCACATTAGCCACATTTGCATTGAATGAAATGAATAGATAATAGATATTGGAGAGGTTAACTCCTGCACATCCATTCGATGTCCTTGCGGCAAGTCCATCTTCTGAGCGCGATTGGTCGAATCGCCTGACACGGATTGACATTGAAACTGACCAGCCTGTCATACATGAACCAGCGTGAATAGGATTGACCAGCCGGTCGCCAGAGTATGCCGACTCGTGGCCGCAATACGAAAGACTCGACTCGTGGCCGCAGACACGAGACGCTGGGGCGACCAACCCGACGAGACTCGCCAGATCTCTCGGTCTCCGACGTTTTCCTCAGGACGTCGCCCAAGCAGAGTCCGTCTCCCAAAGGCGCAGCAGGGGCCGCATCGGTCGGACCGGTGCCGGGAGACCGGACTGGAACTGAACAGCCAGGTTTGGAGGCGAAGCATGATACATAAGGCTCCAAGGGGTGGTGCATAGATATATTAGACACCCCAAGATGGGGCCCTGGTATACAACATACATTGATCCTTAAAGCATCTGAAGAAGCACAAACACCCAAGTCTAGGTCTACATTCCGTTCCCATGGCCGCTGCGAGACACGTGACACCCGCGCCGCTGAGGCGGAGGCGGCCGCGCTTCCGGGCGAGGCCGTGGACGTGGACGTGGTTCCAGGTCGAAGGCCAGCGAGGTATCGATGGTGCCGGGACGCCCATCGCGAGCCGGCCGTGGAGTTCTTGATGGGGTGCAAAGAAATGGCGATGGGTTGCACCAAGAAAGCTTGGAGGTCAAGGGATCGTTAGAGCACTGAGCTCGATGGAGCTCCAAAGACGAGGAGATTGACCCCAAATTGTTCCCATACAATATATTGCTATATACCTAGCGCTTCCGAGACCTATGCCTTGGAAGCAGCTGGCATATTGTTACAAACTTGAGACAGCAGTGAGGAAAGTCCACTTACAACTGGGTGTCTTCCAAATAGCAACTGGGTGTCGGCTTGGTGATGGGATCGTTGGGTCGCGTTGGGCATTTGATATGTCATTGCATAGTGCCATTTTGGACCAAACTTGTTTGTTAGCCCGCCGTTGTCACCAGTCGTAGGCTCAGCTACATCAAACATTGTTCAAATTACAGGAGTTTGAACGATTTCTTTTCGCCTCAATTGAGGCATGCCGATTTGGAGATATGATTCTCAAGGGGACATTGATTGTTGTTCTGACGATGCGTCAGTTGAGACAGAGAGGCTAGATCAGATGTGTGTCTCAAACAAACTTCAAAGGATAAGTACATGGGTTCCAACTTATGTGCAGGTGGCATGCTCCTGGAAGGCTTCATTTAACCTTGCATCAAAAGAAATGTTTGGAGTTTGGCGCAGACTTTACTGATGCCACTGGTGGGACTCCCAGCAGAGTGTTTAGTTTTTTTTTAAACGCCGCTTTTCAACCTTTCTCTTGCAATGTCTTTTCATGTCACTTGCATCAGGTCTCGTAGACCACTTAACGCCGATGGGACGACAACTGCGGGTGATCACAGACTGCTAGGGGCTTATATTAATGAATAAAACAACTGTTTTTTGGAGGTTCCAAGTCATATCTTATCAGGTTCTGGGGCTGAAGCTCCTATGGTTGCTTTGCACCTCATGCTTGGCACAGACTTTGTTGAGCATTTGCCCAGACCTCAGCAAATGCTTTGTTCCCCTCAGGGCTGCAGTTTTAATGTGCGTCGCTACACAAATTAAGGTCTGCCTGTGACATTGCAAAAGGCCCCCAGGAGTACATCAAAAAGAATTTCCCAAATGCAGAGCCAAAGCCTCGACTTTTTGCTATTCTTCTTTACTGTAACTTCTTTTGTTCTTGAGTTCAGGTTGCACACAGATGTATTTACCCGGGAGGTTGACAAGTTTGTTGGCCAGGCGCAACAAAGGAAGTTGCTCCAAATTTAATGAGTGTAAATTCAACAACCTTGTTTGCGTTCATTTGTGGTTGGAAGGCTGATATATACGTCGCCGGATTCCCATGCAAAGCTTTCAGCCGCCTGAGAAGTTTCTCACTATGGCTTCAAGACCCACAAGCCAAGCCCTTCTATGCTTGCGTGAATAACATCAAACGCATAAAGCCATGTGTATCCTGACGTTATAGTATGGACAATTTGGTGTATAGCTTTCGCTAGCATTCCTATCCTCCCAGTTTCTTTTGATCTAAGGCATGTGTGTTGGAGAATGTACTTGGGCTTGCGACAGTCCTGCCAGAGATCAAAGATCATTTGGCCAAAGAGTTGCCAGAGTATGACATACACATCACAATCCTGTCCCCGTAATTCAGCTGAATCATCACAGTGTGATATTGAAGACCTTTTGTTTGTCTCATGTAAGCATCATGGCCCCCTTGTCCAGGCAGCAATTCGGTGTGAACTTGGCCAGGGAGCGCTACTATTTCCTGCTTGTGCGCAAAGAGTATTTGACAGGGGAGCTGGCAGCTATTGCTTCCAAAACTTTGACAGATTTGCGCAACAAGTTTGACCATTGCGAGCCATGGTGGGGTGCCCAGGGGTTTGTATTTCATAGAAAGCGTTTACCAATAGATTTGGTGTGCCATTTTTGGTGACCCTTTATGTCTCCAGGCAAACCTTCTTGCTGCCAAATGATCATCCTGCGGTGGTGGAAAGAAAGGACCCATAGACTACAGTTTCACAGAGGATATCATGTTTTGTCACAGTGTTCGGCAGGAAAAGAAACAGAAGCCGATGAATCAGAAAAAGTATTGCGTAACGAACAAGCACGAGCCTTATGGTTTGATGTTTTTTGTGCTTTCCATATGTTTGCCTGCGAAGCTTTCATCAGAAATTTGGGAAGGCCAACCACAACAGAACCAAAGTGGAGACACATTCACTGGGAGTACATGAAGGACAACGAGGTGCTGCCACACAGTTGTTTTGGGAGTGCTTGTCGTTGTTGATGCTGCTTGCAGGTAATCAAGAAGAATTTGAAAAAGGATGTTGACCATTGGCAGCAGCATTTCAAAACACCTCGGAATTGTCAGGCTCCTCTTGTTGGTTTCAAAGAATGCTAAATTTAGACCAGCCCACGCTTCCGCTTTTGCAAGGCAGTCGCCATTCTGTCTTCTGTGAAGCCAAGTTGGGCTGTGTGTGACCTTTCTCAAAACCTCAATCGCATGCCGGTTGTGCTTGGCAATGGGGCTCCATTCATGTGTATTACGCCTGGACCTCAGCCTGGCAAAATCATTGTGTGTATGTACCCTCTGGCAATCTAAACAGGCCTGGTGGACACTACTGGGTCCGCGAAAAGAAACGCAGTTTGCTAGGCAAGGATGTGTGGAGCAGTTTGCAGTTAATGACTTGTTGCATTGAAGGCTGTTCTGAAAATCAGGCTTGGAAAAATTCATGCTGATGGGCTTTCCGGTCCACCTGCTAGATGTCGACATGATCTCTGACCGGGACAATCTGGCGTGTTTTCAGTTTCAGAGTTTGTTAGCAGCATCAAACTCCTCCCAGAACCCTTCTCGCGCAGCATTTCATTTTCACCGCTCCAGGTGCTTGGAGGTATGGCAGGCAATGCCATGCACATCCGTGCCATTGCAGCCGCCTTGGTGTGCGTGCTCAAGGCAGGCAAGTGGCTTGCTGCCAGTGTGCTGGCTGCAAGTGTGTTGGCTGCATGACTTGCTGCCAAGTTTTTGGCTGCAAGTGGCTTGCTGCCAACTTGTTGGCAGCAAGCCCAGGTAGATAACTATTATGTTATGACTATTTCGCATCATCGCTGTTCCTTTGTCTCAGGCTCTTGACGTTCCAAAAATGGCCATGCCAAGGACACAAACAAGCTCACTTTGGTGTGCGTGTCTAATGGCCTGGCATGAACAACTCAGTCTAACTAATGGCTTTGTGCACTAGGACGTGAATCGGACTGGCGCTGGCGTACTCGACGATCAGTGGGACGCTCAATGATAGACTCCAAAAACCCAATTGCATCAGAAATTGCTTCAGCTGATTGTTCCTTTTGTGTTTGGATAGCATCCAGAGCTTCTTCCAACATGGTTTTGGCTTTGGTCATCTTCTCGATGCAAGTCCGGTCTATTGAATCTTCCAACTCCTCAGCTTTTTTCAAAGCCCCTGCAATTGCGTCTTTGGCCAACATCACCCTATGTTCCATTGCGGGCAAACATTGGGCCAGCATCAGATCTTCTTGCAGGTTCGCGAGATCATCTTCCGCCATCATCCGGGAAGCTGTGGGCTCTGTCATGAAGCACAGTTTCAATCTGTTGCGTCGACAGATTTATGTTCATATAATGTTCATTCTTATAAGGTGCTTGGAAGGTGTTGGAAGCAGCACGTGTTGCCTCCATGTATTTGATTCATGTGGGCAATTGATGGGCATGTGCGCTCTTAAAGACATGTTGATTTTACTTGGATCCACTTGATATGGCTTAGTGAAATTTGGCTCAACATGATGCTGCTGGCTAAAGTTGAAGATGGTGACCCTAAAGCTGCCAAGAGCAGCAGGGATCTCATCTGGGAATGCTTTCAACAAGTCATAGTCTTAGAGTTTGCTTAGTCCTACAAATCATTCGATATCAAGTCAAGGCTTTCGCATTCGTCATCAAGGTCACAGCCAACACCAACCTGGGCACCTGGCTCAATGATGAGTACGGCGACCGCACGAAGATGAGCGCAGTCCTTGACAGAGTGGTGATGGATAGACCTTGCAAGGAACCCATTCCTGGTTTGGTAGCAATTGAGCCATTGCATACCTTGAACGAATGCTTCATTGGGATCGATCAGCTGGACTATGGGCAAAATGCCAAACATGGTTGCTGCTAGTCTCAAACCTTCTGATGCGCATTCCAACCAATTGCAAGTTCTTGTGATTGAACACCGCGAACCTGCAACTAAGACTTTCCCCACATGGCGACAGTGGCAACTCACTTCAAGAACATTGTCTATCGCAACTTCGACCCGTACCGGGAACCACTGTGCATTCGGTTCGTTAGCACAGGGGAAAGGACTGTGCAACCTTTCTCTGTCAAGTATGTGGATGGGTTCACAAAAGGGCTGATCTGCCAATCAATAGCTGCAATTGTTGACAAATTGGTTTCTAAGCCGCAATTGAAGGGAAATAGGTGTCATTGAGCCAACATCTAAGTTCAACATGTTTGCTGTCCTCTCCTCGATTGCAAAGGGCATTCCGGAAGAAGAGCTCGACAGCGATGACCTGAAACCGCTGCTGCTGAGTCTTCGCTTCTTCAAGGCGAAGTACACTCACATGCCCAACCAGGAGGATTTTTTTTTACGAAGCACTGCGTGCTCCACTCAGAAATTGCCAGCAATCATCATCCATTGTGCTATAAGTTGTTATTGGCTTTAATGGCCAAGGACTGGGGCAAGAAACAGCAGAGAAGCAACAGCCATCCGCACTAGATATGGTTGGGATCTTCGATCAAGCAGTGGCCGCATTTTTTCAGCACAATGGGCGCAAAGTCTCATTTCAGAGTGCACTGAACTCATGCATAGCAGATTTCAACAAGTCAGTGAAGGTTAGAAAGTTCAAGGTGGATACGTTGAAACGTAAGATCATCACGAATTTGTTGAAAGTCCCGAAAGAGTCAGTTGCCATCTTGGCAGCTCACTACGACCTACACCGGCACAGCTCTTCAGGTGCGCGCTTCCACCCTTTCATGTCTCTATTGTGTGCA